GTAAAATAATAATAAACTCACTGACAGAGAAATTAGAGAAACCACAATTTCACAATAGCATAAAGAATAATGAACATCTAGGTAATTCAAACTAATCAAAAAAGTGAAAGACCTCTACAATGAAAATTATAGTACTCTAAAAAAGGATATTGAAGAGGATATCAGAAAATGAAAAGACATCCCCTGTTCCTGGTTAGGTAGAAAAAATATATTTAAAATTACCTTACTTCCAAAACTGTTACACAAATCTAGAGCAACTCCAATCAAAATAACAATGGCACTACTCACAAAACTGGAGAATAACATTGTAAAATTCATATGGGATCAGGAAAGGTCAAGAATAGCAAAAGTAATTCTTTGCAGCAAGGACAGGGGCAGGGGCATCACATCCTGGACTTCAAGTTTTACTGCAGAGCTACAGTTTTTAAAAAATGGCAGGGGAAGTCTCACTCAGAGCCACTAAGAGAAATTCAACTAAAACACAAATAATTGGAAAAAAGAGAGGGACAAACAAGGTGAAACTAAAATTGATCTGAAATAGGAGACTCACAGATCAAGCAAAACATAGATAAAGGATTTAATAAAACATTCAGCCAGCAAACCTGACTCCTGGTGCGTTGCCAGATCTGGACAACTGCTTGCTACACTTGGAATCTGAAATAAGTGACACACTAAAAAATGCAGCTAAATCCAGCCACACAGGACAGACTTGGAATGCAAGGTCTCCTGCCTCTCCCACCTTCCTCCAAACAGAACACATTGCAGTCCAGCAGTACAGTCTGCTCACACAAAGGAGTGACCATCAGCCAGTTTTTTCTTTTCTTTTTTCTTTTCTTCTCATTCCTTTTGTGCACCAGAGCGCCAACTGAAACTTCCAGGAACAAGATTAATGCATGGTAAATGGAGCAGATCATGTTTCTCGTGACCTGTGGTTAGAGAGGCCTGGGGAATTAAACAGCTTTGGACCTCAGGACTGTGCACTCCTGGGCTGTCCCCATGCTTCTGGGTGCAGGAGCAGAAAGGCATTCCCCATCACACCCCCATCTCGCCCAAGGGAGTTACAGACTACAGTAAGGTGGGTTGATGGTGGCCATGAACTTGTAAAGCAATGACTGGGAAGTTAGCACCCCACTTCAGGAGAGGAGTTCGAATTGGGGTGAGTGGCCTTGGACTGGAGGAACAGGAACAGAGGACTAGACCATATCACAGCATCCCACCCCATCCTGCAAAAGATGACCAGAGAGGACAGAGCCTGCCAGTGGAAGAGGAACACAGAAGGCTCAGCAAGGACCATGGGACTGGAACGGTGCCTTATCTCTATCTGAAAACAGAATAGCAACCGAGAGAGAGATGCCACCAGGAGAAACACAGTAAGGAGTGAGAGGCCACTAAGGGACAGACAGAAAAGACTGGCTGAAGACTCCGGCCCCAGACACCCACACCTGGAGGCCAAGGGCATCCTCAAACCCAGCAGGAACTCCACTCACTGCAAGCCTGGAAATGTTATCCTGTAGTTCTAGACCCTCAGTGCACACTAGGGGGATTTTGGTTTTTCTTTTCTTCTTCTTTTTTGTTTTTAGTTTGTTTGTTTGTTGTTTTGGCCAGTTTGTGGTTTCCCATTCTTTTCCCTTTCCCCATCTTTTACCTATATCTTTGTTCTAATCTATTCGTCTTTTTCCCCCTTTTCCTCAATTTAATTCTCTACACTGTTACATTTTCATATGAGCGAATTGTTTCTCTAATCTTTCTGTCAATGTCAATAACTCCTTGCTTACTCCTTCATTCTGTTTGTTTCTGTTTCCCTCTTCTCTAATTTCCCAAAGCCTGAATCCTTGGTCCTCCAGCCTGGCTTTTACTTTACTTCTTTAAAGTTATCTCGTTCTATCCACCATCCTTCTTAAATTTCCTCACTACAAGGTAAAACATCCCACCAAGGGGAGACACTTTACATACAAGCTCCCAGTTCATGACCGGTTCTGTTATATAACTGTAGATTTTGCTTCTATGGTCAAAGGTACAAAATTAAAGAGTTACCACAGTTTGTTAGTCTCGAAACTGTGCTTGATGCTACTGTCATTGCTAATTATACTGCCTTAAGCTAGGATGTCACACCTGCTTTAATCAGTTCTTCTCCCTTGTGTAACCATGCTGGGAAGTCTGGGGTAATAAGCTCACCACACCCCAGCACCAAAGTCCTACGGACTGAGCCAAAAAGAAACTCACACCTCATTCTTAGTTAGTAGGAAAGGTGGGGTCGTGGGATACATACAAAGAAGAACCTCCTTTTTTGTTGCTGTTGTTCATTTGGTTGGTTTTTATCCTTTCCTTTGTTGTTTGTTGTTTATGTTTCTAAGTGTGAGCATTGTTTTCACTTTCTCTTCCATCTTCATTCCCTCTTTTCTTCCTTTATCACCAGTTTCCTGAAAGAAAAACCTTTCTTTGTCCCCTACCTTGCTTCTAATGGCTTTTTCTGTTTGTTTTTTATTTTTCTCTCTTTCCTTTTAACGTTTTCCCTCTGATGTGGATTTTTAGTCTCTACATAATTTCTTTCACTTTTAGCCCCCCTTTTCTTCTTTTTTCTTGCTAGTCTCTTGTCATACCTTTATCTAATTCCATAGATATAAGATCCCTTGTGTCACTTTTCTCTCCTTCTGTCATAAGGTCTCAAAGTTTCTCTGCTGCACTCACTCATTCCCTACCCATATATCTTTAAGGGTATAATTAAAAGCTTTAGTAACCTTTTCATATGTAATTCTAAAATTACCATTGTTAGAATTTCTATCATTAGAGCCGGGCATGGTGACTCATGCCTGTAATCCCAGCACTCGGGAGGCTGAGGCAGGATTGTTGGGAGTTCGAGACCAGCCTGGGCTACAAAGTGAGCTCAAGGCCAGCCTGAACTGCATAGTCAGACCCTGTCTCAAAAAGACAAAAAAAAAAAAAAAAAAAAAAAAAGAATTTCTATCATTAGCAAAGATATAGTTTCCACATTTAGTGAAAATTAGTTGTAAGTTAATACCTGGCTTGCCTTAACATTTTCATCATAAACTTACTTGTTCTCTAGGATTAAGAGTGATAACATAATTGAGTTTTGGGGGCTGGGCTGTAGCTCAGTGGTAGAGTACTTGCCTAGCATGCACAAGGCTCTGAGTTCAATCCTCAGTACCACAAATACAAAGAAACAAGCAAACATAATTTGGCTTTGGCATGTTCATATCTGTTGTCTTAGGCAGTATTACTATGGGCTATTGGGAGATCACTACGAAGCGGCTCTGAGCATGATTTAAACTTTATTAATTGGCTTTCTGTGTTTATCTGTGAGTCTGTCCTAGGCCTCAGCCCCTTGCCTGGTGACGGGAACTGATTCATAGTAAGTGAACCTCTATGAATCACTGGTCCTGGCTGAGGCCTGTAGTGGCCTGTGAGGCCAGAGATACCTCAAAGGGCAAGATAAGGCCACATTTGCAGACACTTGGCTCCAATCCCAATTAACAAGACAGAGACTACAGCTGCAGAAATTACCCCTATAGTCTCACTTGTATCATGTCTTCATGATAAGACAGTGCTACTGAATTGACTTGATTTATTACTTAGAGACCTTCTTGAAGTGACTCTCAAAGTCCTGCTCACTGCCTGCACTTTCCTCAGTTCCCCCACTCCTTGTTGTTGGACCTAATAAATAAGGTGTGCGGTCCAGAGGAGACTTTGTCTTAACCCTCGGAGTCTGGGGCTTAATTAAAAGGTTTTGACCCTCCTGGAGCCCTAAAAATTCATTCAGTTTGTCTCTTTTTATTTAACCTCCTCTGTACACTCATTTGGGAGGTTGAGCAACTAGATCAGGACCCAATAGTGCATGCGATTTGCTTGATATTAACAGTCACGCACTTGTAGCTAGCTTTCTATAATCCACAGCTCAGTATCTTCATAACAATAATTCCAGAGCACATTCCCAGAGAACATGGATGCTGCATCCTTGCCTCGAAAACTGACCAACTCATCAGGTTGGGGCTGTGGCAAACAATCATAGTCAAACATACCCAGAGTGCATCATTGAAGAGCAATGCAAGAGACGCTGTACTGGTAATAAACTCTAGCCTACTACTACCACAAATCTTAGCATGAAATAAAACAGACAACTCAGAAGAAAAAGCAACAAAATGCCTCCCACAATTTCCAATCCAGGTGGCCCTGAAGGACAGAATTGGATAAGATATACACCTGAATTTATTGAAAGGATGGCAGAGATGAAAAAGTAGCTCAAAGAAGCATGTAGTGGGTTAAAGAAGCTATAATGAAGCAGATAATGGAAGTAATAACAAAAGATTGATCCGGCCTGTGGATCAATCTGTGGGATGTACCTGGAAGAGGAACGGGGATTAAAATAAAAACATGGGGGAGACAGAGAGACTGAGGCAAGTTGAGAGAGTCCAATCAAGCCCCATTTATTCCAGAAGTGATTACATCTTTTATAGGCCAAGGGCGGGCTGGCGGGACAGGAAGAAGCTACGGGGATGAATACAACAGGGTCATCATCATGTCCGGGTATGTGACGTAAGCAGGAGAGGGTTATGGTTAATGTAGGCAGATGCATTGTGCTCATAGGAGAGAGCGAGGCAGGGAGGCAGCAATGGGGCTGTTGCGCGGCTCCCTACATCTCCTCCCTTTCTATATTATTTAATCAGGAGTATGGCAGGCCCTGCCAGACAGCGTCTATCTTAGGTCAAGGACCTCATTACATGAATCCAACCAAGCCTTACCCATCATGGGCTGCAGGACAGCAGTTGGTCCTGTGCCTGTCTTAGGTTGCTGATGGAATTAACCTGTCTGTCCTAGTTGCCCGTCTCTGACTGCCTGTCCATTGCCCCAGGGCAGTTAGGCTGCATCATCATATGGGCCACTCATGGGAATTCCTTCCCGGTAGGTTTGTTGATCTGCCATCTCCAGCTGATGACAGTGTACCTGAATGGGCTTTGCCATAAATGCGTCTATCCGGTTATTAATGAGCGTCATAATCCTCTGAAAAATACAAGGACTCACAGAAAGAAGAAGCAATAGGGCAGCTAGGGGACCCAAAAGAGGCGCTAGGTAAGGGAAAAGCTCACACACACACACACACACACACACACACACACATCGAGGAGAAGGGGTTGGCAGCCATTTGTTGTTGTCACTGTTGAAGTCGTTCTTAATTTTGTGGAGCTTGCCTCGCATAACACCGGACGCAGTCTATTTGGCTGGTTTATGTTCCTCCAGACCGAGAAGAGCCTCCTCCGCCGTCACAGGGGGTTCTGTGCATGGCTGTCAGCAGTTGTAGTCTGTTTGGCAGGGGTCTAAATCCACCATGGGTGTGGTACGGCTCAAGGAGAAGGCTGAGTAGGCAGCATAGGGCTCCGGAGAGTTGTGTCACCTGTAAGAGAACACAGGGGATTGTGCCTCCGGAAATGACATTATTCCTGGGCGTTGCATGGGGTCTTTGAAGAACTGTCTACTTGTTTTACGAGGCATTCAGGTAGCCATCTAGCCTCTCTATCTTGTTGAGAGTAAACACACACTGAACCTCGTCCCCAGATGAGAACGGGGTCAGGGACATGCATGAATTAGTCAGGGGGTCTCTCCATAGTACAGAAGCAAATTGCTTTTGTGTTTCAGAATGCCAAAAATGCATGGCTGCTGACTGTCCAGCAGCATCCAAATTTAAAAAATTAAGGATGAATAAGGTATGAGATAGAACATTTTTAGGTGTCCTCCTTGTGGAGTACCATTTCCCCTTTTTTATTTTATCAACAGTGAGTTTTAGGGAGAGATGTGTCCTTTTAACTATGCCTTGACCTTGAGGGTTATAAGGTATGCCTTTTATATGATCAATATTAAGATGTTGACAGAGGGGCTGGGGATTTAGCTCAGTGGCATAAGTGCCTGCCTTGCAAGCAGGCAGTTGTGAGTTCAATCCCTGGTACCGATAAAAAAACAAAAAAGACAAAAAAAAAAAAGATGTTGATATAAACAAGCAAAGGCAGAACTAGCATAGCCTGGACCATTATCAGTCTTTAATTGTTGTGGGCATCTCAGAACTGATAAGGTAGTTAACATATGGCTAATGACATGCTTGGTAGCTTTGCCAGTCTGGGGAGAGGCACAAACAAAACCACCAAAGGCATCCATAGTTACATGAACATATTTAAGACTGCCAAAGTCAGGAATGTGGGTGACATCCATTTGCCATAATGCACTAGGGATAAATCCTCATAAGATTAACCCCAAAGTGTGGAACTGGGAGGTGCATGGCACAAGAAAGGCAATTTTTTACTATCTGTCTGGCTTGTTTTATAGTGATCTTAATACAGAATTACAGAAAAATAAATGGTAAGAAATCAACAGTTGATAAGTTACATATTGTCATCTCAGAAATAGTCACCCAGGTCACAAAATCAAAGCACATAAAGTGACATCCAAACAGTGACACTGCCAACACTTCTGCTCAATGATCCAACAAAAACTTCGTAACATGCTTATCAGTCCCACACACCTGTCCTCTATCTCAAAGAGGGCAAGAACAAACATACCAAAACAGAACAAAACAGTTTAAAAAAAAGATTTAAAGAAATACAGATTTGAAAGCAAGTGCACTGGAGATCTTCACTGTTCATCTACTTGTCTCTAGTTTCCTCCAAACAGTGCCCATCTTTACGCACATTAAATACACGCTGCATATTATAGAACTAATCGAATCGTTACAGGATGATGAAGGTTTCTCAGGGTTTTAAGATCTGACATTGGGGAAGACAATAATAACTACCACAGTGTCTCTCATTCTCCTTTTAGCAGCTGTCCCCATCCTTACATATGCTGAAATTAAACTTAAGAGACTAGACCAATATCATTCTGATCAGTTAAATGAGTCAAAGTAATTGACATTGTAATCTCTATCTCTGGAGTCTTTTTGTAAAATGACCAGTTTCTCTACAGGTAAAACAGTTTTGTTTATGCTTTTGAGATAAGAACTGTTTAACTGTAAACCCCTGCAAGCCAGCAGTGACAGCAAAGGTGTATATATCCTGTTAGGCTTGTTCTGTTTTTATGAGGTCTGATAGTGGCCCAGCAGACGGTGCCGGTGCCTTTAAAAGCCAGCTGTTCAACAAAATCAGTGCCTGCATCAGCACGGCCAAAGACTCCGCTAACAGCAACAATCAAACAATCAACAAACTCTGAAAAGGGTTGATCTGGGCCTTACTTACTGCTAGTGAGAGAGGAGCTTATATTATCTTTTGCAGGCAGCTTTCTCCATGCTTGAGTAGCTGCTGTTTGAATTTGAGCGAAAAGTGTTGGATTAAACTCTTTACGAGCCTTTCTGTATGCATAGGCATCTTCCACTATTAACATATTAAGGTCCCACCTATTGCCAGCCTGTGTATTGTGCCTGGCCGTCTCTTTGCAATTTTTTGTGTATTCTGATTTTTACAAAAGATTATCCCCACCCAATAAAGTCACTCAAGCCAATCTTTGTCAATCTGTAGGTGTGAGCCAGCCATCAGCCAGAGAATTTAAAACAGCAAGAATGAAAGCAGCTGTAAGGCCATATTGGGCAACCGCTGTCTTTAATTCTTTTAAAGTTGCCACTGTGAATGGCGTATGAGTCTTAATGTCTTGTGGAGCTAGCGGCGTGGTGCTCACGCCGTCTTGCGGCTGTGTGGTGCCATCTTGGGGAAGTACGTTTGTTTCCGTCACCAGAAATACCATTTCGGGGAGGGACCCATGCTGATGTGGCGGAAGTGAGGCAAGCGCCATTTTAAGAGTGCCATGAGGCTTGCCAGAGGCAGGCGCCATCTTAGGAGCACTATAAGGCTGTGTAGCTCGGAGGGCCTTGTGCGACCATCTCCTCAATCTGAGGATCTGCACGCCACTGGGCAAGCAGCTCAGAGATTAAATTCCAATATGCAAAGGTGGTCACTGGAACCTTTTCCAGACCAAAAACCCTATAATAATCTTTTAAAGCATCTCTTACTCTTTTCCACCTCTTGGTATCTATAGAACCTCTAGGGGGAACCAGGGGCAAACCTTATGAATAAATTGAAAATACTGCAATAATTCTTTTGTTCTAACCCTTACTCCTCTTGTCTTTAATGCCTTTATAAGGTCTCCCACGAACAATTTGTGTTCGCTCAATGCTTGATCCATGTCCGGGAAAGGGAATGGGGTCGCCGTTCACTCACCGTGACTCGGGCAGGTACATTGGGTAGTCGTCTGCGCAGGCCTCGGTACTTGATTTAATGTCCTTTTGCTTTTAGCTTTAATCCCTGATTTAGTTTGCTCAGTTCTCACCTTGGTCTCTGGTTTAATTTGCTTTCACTTTAAGCCAGCTATCTCGAACGGCTCCCTCGTTGACTCCGTTGACTCCCCCGTGCTAGGAGCCCCCACGCTGGGTGCCACTTGATCTGGCCTGCGGATCAATCCATGGGGTGTACCTGGAGGAGGAACGGGGATTAAATAAAGACATAGGGGAGACAGAGATGGAAGTAAGTTGAGAGAGAATTTGATCAAGCCCCCTTTATTCCAGAAGTGATTACATCTTTTATAGGCCAAGGGTGGGCTGGTGGGACAGGAAGAAGCTATGGGGATGAATACAACAGGGTCATCGTCACATCTGGGTATGTGACGTAAGCAGGAGAGGATTATGGTTAATGTAGGCAGACACATTGTGCCCATAGGAGAGAGCGAGGCAGGGAAGCAGCAATGGGGCTGTCGCGTGGCTCCCTACAAAAGATGCTGAAACTTTCAGAAGACACTAATAAAATGCTAGACGAGCTAAACAAAGTATTATAAAACATGAATGACCAGTTTACCAAGAAAATTAGAGTCCATAAAAAGCTTTCAATCAGAAATCCAAGAGATTAAAAATCATACTGAGGGGCTAGGGATTTAGTTCAGTGGTACAAGTATCTGCCTGGCAAGCACAAGGTTGTGTTTGATTTCCAGTACAAAAAAAATACTTACATACATAAAAACATACATGCATGCACACATGCATACATGCAAGTTGCTACTGTGTTTCCCCAAAACTAAGACCTACCTGGAAAATAATCAGCCTTGAAAACCAGGGGTTGATCCACCCATGTTGGAATTTGGCACACTGAGCAAGACAGCAATAGGCCTCCCTTTCTGGTAAGCAGCCCTGAGCCTACCGGCCAGCGGCCTAAAAATCAAACATCCCGTCTTCCCTCCCCCTCATAGCACCTGGGGGCAGAGGTCTGAGCATCTTTTGCAAGGATGACCATTTGCAATATAGCAAATGTGGGGAACTTCCTTCTATCTTCTGTTTGAAGGCAAATGTCACTGCTATGCTTTGCTCTAATTGTTTTTGCTCTATTCAATATTCTCTTTCGATTGGTTTTATAGTGTTCTGGTTTTGGTATGATTTAGCTATACCTGATTGACTGGACAACTATTGTGAAGATAACGAGATGTACTATGGTACCTATTACTGTTATCCCGGTTTCTTGCAGTGAAGTTCTTGCAGTGAAGTTCAATTTCACTGCATTATCTCAATTGGCTTTGTTCTGTCTTGTTTTATTGTATTTTACTACCTGAAAGAAAGAAAGAAAGAAAGAAAGAAAGAAAGAAAGAAAGAAAGAAAACAAAGAACTAGGGATCAAAAGCACCAGCCCCAATTGGCCGTCCTTCCTTATCTGCTTTAGAGCAGCAGCTGAGGCTAGGGCACTTTGATCTCTAGTTTTCAAAGCTGACTTTTTTCTGGATAGATCTTGTTTTTGGGGAAACACAGTGTGAAAAGTGAACGACCAAAAACAAGGAAAGGGCTCCTGACTGGATGCAGGTATTTGTAGCGCCTGATAGTAGAGGATGTATGAACCATAGTCCTTTGGTTTGACTTCGCACAAAGAGCCTTGAAGAGGAAGCACACCCAGGCACGACGTCTCTCTGGGACAGAGCTAACTGCGTGTGGACCTGGCTGAGGGGCTCAGCACAGGTCTGGGTCAGTCCAGATGGTGGGCTTTGAGGGAGGGAGGATGCAGCCCCAGGGCCAGCGACCAGCAGGCTTGTCACCTGGAGGAAAAAATTAAAAGAAAGAAGAAGAGAGTCTCACTTCTGCCCCTTCGGAGGAGCTCCAGCCTTTGCCGTGGCCTTGGGTCGTACTTCTCTAGGGCCCTCCAAGACTCCTCAGCTTTCCAGCCAGTCCCAGCCTTGACTCACTGGGAGTCTGCAGGGAGCTCAGGTCCCCGAGTTTGCTCCGATGCGCAGCACCCTTGTTGCTTTCTCTCTTCATTACACAGAATCCGATCCTCCAGTAAACGGAGGCGGCCTCCGCACCCCTCCTCCTCCTCCTCCTGCCTGTGGCTGAGGGGTCGCAGCTCCCACAGCTACCCTGGGCCACAGGGAAGGCAGGCAAGAGGCAGAAAGGTCCAACCAGCGCATCAAACTGCAGGTCTCCCCCAGCTGCCTCCATAATCCCACTCTGAGCACAAGCTACTGCCTTTTTTGTTTGGTTTGGTTTGCTTTGGTTTGGTACTATTGTTTTGAGCTGGCTGCCCTGTGTTCTGCTGAACTCAGTGCTCTTTAGATGCAGGCTTACCCCTCATTGCCCCTTGGGGTTCTGGGCAGCCCCCTGCAGAAATCTTGGCTGAGCTGTCTCCTACAGGCACTTGTCGAATGCTGGAACTCCACAAAATTTACACCCACGTGAGAATGGCACCTCCAAAGCCACTACTGCCTGGAAGACAGTAGGAAGGGCACAGTAGGAAGAGGAACAGAAACCTTCCCCGCCAAGAGGCTCCAAAGACTGACAAGCCAGTGCTTGTCCGAGGAGGAAGGGGTGGGACGGTGCCTGACAGAGGAGGGGACAGAACAACACCCCTCACAGACTGATGCTCCTCAGTCTCCTAAAGTCAAGTGCCTGACAGCAGCCGGTTGGGGCCCCAGTGCCAGGAGCAGATGACAGAAGAAGCCCTGGGGTCTCGGCTGTCGGGGAGATACACGAGTCCCTTGCCTTGTCTCATATCCCTTGTACAATGGACATGGAGTGAAAGAACCCTTGGGCAGCCTCGTTTGGCTGTGGTGGCTGCACACACGCCCTGCAGCAGGGCATCTCGGCCCGTGATGGGAACCTAGGCAGAAGGCCAGGGTGGCCTCAGCGCAGATCACTGGCCCCTGCACGCAGGTGCACAGTCCTGGGTTCCCTCCTCAGCGCAGCCAAAACAAAACAAAAAGAAACACTTGGGAACAGAAAAGCTAAATATGTATCACTAATTTGGGAACTCAGATCCCTGTTTGGCAAAAGGAAGAAAATCGGATGACCTTGGTGTTTTTCCCAAATAACCAACTACCCATACACATATCGTGCAGGAGAAACCACCTCCATGGGTAACTCACCCTGTTCTGCTTTTCACCGACTGGTATTTATAGCTCTGTCTTTGCCTCAGGAGCCTGTGGTTTGTAGGGAGGTCCGTGTCCTACCAGGGCTGCCACCATTTCCCTTTCTCCTTCTGCTGACTGTTGGTCTCTCTTCTCCAAGGCTCCAGGTTAGGAAGAAACTGCACAAGGGTGAGATGATTTAAAATGCCCGTTGGGGGGCTACAGGTGTAGGTCAGAGGGCACAGCGCTTGCCCCGCATACGCAGGGCTGTGGGGCCTACCCCTGCCCTTCCCCCAAGTTAACGCAACATTTTACACTCGTTTTTTTCTTTTTGACACAACGGTCTCACTGTGTAGTCCAGACTGGCCTCGAGCTCAGGCCCCCCTGCCTCGGCATCACAAGGCATGCACCACTCAGCCTGGCCTTCACCCGCTATTTTGCAGGCATAAGTGCTAGACCCAGGGCCTTGCACATGCATGGTAAGGGCTATGCCCACCTCACTCTGGGTTTTATATAGAATTTTTAAAGCAATAGTGCAAGTGCTGTTGGGATAGATGACCACTTGGATTAATTGCTTTCCCCAGAAATTGAATTTGATACTTAGAAGGTATTTTCTCCCGGATCTCTAGTTTTCCAGCTGTGGAGAGGGTCTGCACCTGGCTCCTCTAACCCTGCTGCAGCTGCTTCCCTTCGAAACAGCACCGGTGGTATCTACATTTCAAAGATCTCTCTGTGTTTATAAAGTGACTCTATCCACTCTTTGCCAGTGGTGGACATTCTGCAAGTCAAATATGCGGGCCAGAAACCTCCCAGGGAAGAACCACTCCGGAGCATTCAGTGGCCCCTTTTGCTTATCTAGCCAATCGATTTCCTTTTATGACAAGCACTGAGTCTCTGCACTCAGTGACTCTGCACAGGTGGAGGGTGAAAACAGTGTGTCAATATTTGTACGAGTTGCACAAATACACCCCACCTTGCCTGATGGAGTTGTTCCCAGGCCTGGGCAACATTTCAGATGGTGAGTTACATCAGTATCACAACATAGTCATGCCTGACTTGTGTTTGTTCAGGAATCATCTAGCTTTTCTTGCCCTTCTCCTTTTCACCTTGTGAATGATTTATGAAGACAAAGACTAAGACAAGAAGAAAGACAGACAGACAGATTCTGCTAGCATGGGGCTTTGCTATCTCTAACATCACACCTGCCCAACTTGGTACCTGGCCCAGAAAAGCAACTGATCTCTCCTCGAGTAACTTCTGTGTTCTCTTTCTAGCTTCAGAGATAACCCTTCCGCTCCCTTTTTGCCCACGTGTTGAGCCCTCTGCAATCCCAAGCCTCCCTGCAGCCCCCAGTAAATCTGTCTCCTGCTTTACACAGGCAGATGCTCCTCCGAATCAGCAGCTGACTGTCATTTTGCCCGGCTCCCAAACTCCTCCCCAGCCAGACCTGATCAAAGTAGCCCCACTTCTTTGTTCTCACCCAAGAGTATGTGTTTTCTCTTCTGGAGCCCTTCTGTGCCCGCAATAAAGGCCTTTTTTTCTCTTTTCTTTGTCAGTCTATCCCGCCAAAATCTTAACAGAAAGAAAGAGAGAGAGAAAGAAAGAAAAGAAAGATGGGAAGATAGAAAGAAATTCAAATGGGGAGCAAATGGAAAACTCTTCCTTGAGCATTAAGTCCTAAAGGTGAAAGCAGCTGAGGTGGGGGAGGGCCCCATGGCACCCGCATTCCTGCCATGCAGACTTGGGGGCATGCTATGCAGGCCGCTCCAGGCCTTCCCCCACCTTCTGAGTCCCTCCCCTGCACAGCCAAGCTCCTTGAACTCTTAGGACAAAGAAGGGTAAACCCTCAACTTGTTCCCCTTCACACTTTCCTGTGGGCCCTGTCTGTGCTCCTTCCTGTGTGACCAGGGAGTCAAGAGCGACGGGTATATGTGTGCACAGCCCACTTAGGAAACAAAGAACCTGACAGCTTTCTCCTCAGGGTCACAGGAGGAGTTTGCATAGGTTCTGCCTCTGCCTGTGGTGCTCCTGGCAGATGTGGAGCCTGTGTGGGGGTTAGGTCACTGGCTTAGGTACTTTTGAAAGGGATTTGGGGGCCCCAGCCCATTTCTTTCTCCCTCTCTTTCTGCTTCCAAGATGGCATGAGGGGAGGCGCTTCCTGGGCTATACTGGTTTCCCCATCAACCCAAAGGCCAGCGCCAGGAGACTATGAACAGAAAGCGCTGAACCATGAGCTGAAGTAGAGCTTTCCTCTTTGTAAGCTGATTGCCTCTGTTATTTTATCACAGTAACAGGAAACCAACATGGGCCCAACAGCATTCTTTCAAATGGCAGGCCAAGAGTTTAGGACTGCTTCAGCTAGGGTAGAAGATGAGTACCTTGAGCAGGTGTCAAGGATGATTAGATACCAAGAGTAGAGTGATTCTAGCTGAATTGATTCCCCAGGCTCTCCACACCTGCAGCTCTTTTTGAAGCAGGATTTTTCTATTTCCCATTGTCAGGTCTTACATTTCTGGGCTCAAGTGATCCTCCTACCTTACCCTCCTGAGTAAGGCCTATGGCCCTCGAACGTCCACCAGACTCACTTGTAAAGGCACTGCTATGGTTTGGATGTGGTCAGGTGTGGGGGGCCTGGTCCTCAGTGTGGAAGTGTGAGATGGTATAGAACCTTCCAGAAGCAGGGCCCAGGAGAAGTAGTCGGTCACTGAGACTGAGAATCTCGGTGTTTGTTTTCTGTTTTTATTTTTGATCCCGGGACTCAAACTCAGAGCCTTGCTCTTGCCAGATAGGCATTTAGCCACCAAGGCACCAAGGTTATATCCCTGGCCTTAGTTGATCACTGAGGGTCAAGGGCACGGCCCCCAGGAGTTCAGGTTTTTCCCACAGGAACTTAGAGCTGTTTGGTTTTTGTTTGTTGTTAAGACAAGGACTCACTGTATTTCAGGCTGGCCTTGAACTCACTACATAACTCCAGGCTGGCCTCAGCCTCCTGGGTGGGAATTACAGTTGTATACTATCACCAAGTTTGAAAGTCTAGGCAACAACTATGAAGACAATAAGATTCATTGTGACGCCCATTCTGGTTGACTAATATCTTCTTTTGAAGTCCTCTAATGTCTCCAATGTTTTGGTTTTATTGGTCTTATTCTTTACTGTTTTGTTCAATTTTATTATAACTGATGATATAGGCAATTCTTTTTACGATAACGAGGCATTATAGTAACCATTGTTGATCACCTTGTATTTTGTTTTTACATTATGTATTATGTCCATCCTTTTGATTTGACTGACTCTGTCCTGGTATGTCACATTTGGTTTTACTTTCTTCAAAAAAAAGTAATAAGAACTGTGGGAGTAATAAAACCCAAAATGTTTAATTGTCATTGTACAAAAGAAAAGAAAGTTCTCTAAAAGATATAACTGCATGTATATTTAAGTGTATAAGATAGATAACCATATTACTGAGTTTTGTTGGATTATTGAACAAACTGTTTGCAGTCTCACTGTTTGAAAGTCCCCTCTATATGCTTTAATTAACAACTATTTCTAAGATGACAGTATGCAATTAACTAGTGATTTCCTAGTTTATTTTTTCTGAAATTCTGTATAACTTGTACCCTTTTTTTTTTCTTTTTTTCTCCTTACATAAAATTAAAAAAAAAATAGTTGTGTACTATCATGTTTGGCAGTTCTCTTCCTGTCTTTCTCTCAACTGAGGATTGAACCTAGGACCTAGTGCTAAATTACATTCTCAACCCCTTACTTTTAACGTTATTAAGGCAAACATTCATTAAATTGTCAATTTGTCCAGACTGATTTCGAACTTGTGATCTTCCCGCCTCAGCCTCCCAGGGTGCTGGGACGGTCAGCATGTGTTACCATGTCTGACCAGGATCACGGCTCCTTCTCGGGAGAGTTGTTATAAAAGATCCAGACAGATCCCTCCCCACCCTCCTGTCTTACCGTGTGAGCCCTTCCTCTCTCGTCCACAGTGGCCCATCTTGATGCCCCAGGCACAAGGTCTTCCTCAGAGCTTAGTACAGCTGCTAGCACATCCTTGGGCCACACTGCACTCTGGAACCACCCGGGGAGGTTTATCAGTGTTGAATGTGCCTGTGGTCTCTCTGCCTGAGGTCTCCTCCTGCGTCAGACCCACTGTGGGCACCTGGGAGCTGCTCCGGACCAGAGCTGGGAGAATAGAATTAAACTCAGAATTTCTTCTCAAGCCCCATGACCTCTTCTTGAAGGCAGAAAAGAAAGAAAACAGTTTTCAAACTGGACAGAGCTGTGTCTTTGTGTGCCAGCTCCTCAGGAGGCTGAGGCGGGAAGGTCGTTTGAGGCCAGCCTCGCAACACAGTGAGACCCAGCTCCATGATGGAGTAGGCATTAAACTGAAGGCACTGCATCACAGGCCATCTCCTGGAGGGACTGCGAAGACAGGGAGAAAGGTGCCCCTCTGTACAGCCATGTGCCTCAGCCCATTGTAGCAGGAACACCTGCAACTTGGAGTCGGGACAAGGGTGCACAGCCTCCACCCAGGACCTTCTCTTCCTGGTGTTGGTATTTCAAAGATGAGTGTCACAGACCACAAAAGACAGAGTCCAGAATTCTGAGAGGCTGAAAGAGGCTTTTATACCCACTGAAGACACATTTACAGAGAGAGATTCTATGAGAAAGGGAGAGAAGTTTGTTCTTTGCTGATGTTGGATTTTTGGTTTCTTTTCTTCTCCTCCTCCTCCTCCTCCTCCTTCTTCTTCTCTTATTTTCCATTGCTAGGATTATTTCCAAAAGATGAAAAATATTTCCAAAAGATGAGAAATATAAAATAAAAAGCGGCCTTTATTCTGAGAAAACGGAGAGAGATGACCGGCACCCCCACCGCTGGCGTCCGGCGATCTCTCCGGTGGACACGTGGCGTGGGGGCCTGTAAATAGCCTCGGTTTGGGGTGGAACCTAAGGCGGGCATTAGGGATGCACAGGTAGCCCATTGGTCCTAGGTTTGGCGCCATATGTAAATTTCCAGGGGCGGGAAGATGGCGTCACACGTAACTTCCTAGGGGCAGGGGAGATGGGGCTTCCTGCTTCCAGTTGAGTCTTTCCTGGCTAGAGAGTCCTGTCTGGGCCAAAACCCTTTCATCCATAAAGATAATTCATCTGTCTGTTTCTTCCCTTCCCTCCTTTCTTTCTTCCTTCCTCTTCTCCCTATTCCTTCCTCTTCTCTCTGTTTCTCTCTCCCGATCTCTCTGTATCTTTTTTTTTTTTCAGTCTTAGATATTGAACCCAGGGCTTTACACTGAACTATAGTTCAACCCTTCTTCAATTTTTTAAAATGTACTTTTTGGTATTTGGCCTTGAACTTGTGATCCTCCTTCCTCAGTCTCCCCAGTGCTAGGATAACAGGAATACACTACCACACCCAGCTTGTGGGGAACCACCCAGACAACTTTCCCTGACTCTCCTTGAAAACAAGAGCATTTGTCTCCATTTTGGATAAACCTGGCCCTATCTCCATGTACTGATAAGTACAGAGCTGGCTGGGTTATTTCTTTGTCCCTTCAATTGGCCTTAAGCAATGTAAATTGGGCTGGCTGAGGCGTAATCTCTGAATCAAGGTGACAGGTCAGTGTTACCCCGCCCAGTGACTCCCCAAACAAATGGTTGAGCTGGGCGGGATAGTGCTTTATGCTGAAAGCTGTGACTTCCCAGGGCAAAAAAGTTGTACATCAGAGCTGAAGCACTGACCCCAGATTATTAGAGTCTACCTCAGTTGTATTATTCAGATTGCTCTCCCTGCATTTCTTGCCCTCTGTATATGCAGAGGGGATCTCAGACCTCCTACCCAGCCCAGCTCACAGTATTTCTAGCCCGCCACTCTCACTGTCACTCATCCCCAAGCCACTCCCCTCATGGAGAATCAATAAATTCCAGATTGGGCTCTGGATTGTAGTCTTTGTTCCAGTGAACCACCATCTTGGCTGGACCTAGGAGTCTTTGGCTCCCCACAACTGTGCAGATGTCTTAATGTCTTTATTCATAGCTTGGGTTGCACTGGAAGTGGTAGACTGGAATTAACTTACTAGAATTCCAATAACTTCTCCTTGGGGTTACAATTATAAATCTTCCTGATCCACAATGAGGATGAGAAGGAGTTCTCTATACCAGCTTATCTTTTTTTTGTTAATTTTGAGATAAATTCTCACTAATTTACCAGGCTGGGCCCAAACTTTGGGGTCCTTCTGTATTAGGCACACACTACTATGCCAGGTGTGCACAGAGGGTATTTTAATAGCTTACAGGAGTACTTTGGGGTGTTCTTATTTCTCCAGGCACTTTTGAGTAT